AAGTCCTATAGATTCCTCAATGGATGGAAAAATTCCCTCCATCAAGCTATTGTATTCTGACAGCCGGCACCTGCCTCTCTCAGAATACGCAAACAGTGACTGCAGCTGATTTGCAGAAATGACTGTTTGGCCTAAAATTTTAACATAAATTCACTGAGTAATCAACTTGTCGAGCTGGCAGGGTTGTCGACTGTTGCCATTCCTGTGAATCGGCCAAAATTCTTGCAGTGAATGGCCAGTTTAAGTCAAGACTCGAAATCAACAAAACCACATACAGAGTGAGTTTCTATAAAACACAAAATTGGTCCCTACCATAAAAACTTCCCCTTCTGAACTAATCATACACAGTAAATTGTACAGACTGGTGTCTGCACACAGCTCTGATATGTATGAGAGAACTCTTGAAGAATATTTCTTTAGTGCAATGCTACTATAACCATACTAGGTACCCTGCCATTCTTGTGAATATACATAGTTATTTTAGTAAACAGCAACATTGTTCATCTTACACCTCTGAAAGTTTGGGGCGACCGTTTTACAGCTCATTTTCTGTTTCCCAAGTATTTCTCTAGTTTTTACCAACCTTTATGAATGCATGCTTTGATTGTGTCCAAAGACTTATGTTTGAATACTGCATTCATTTAGACATTTTTTTATGGATGTTTGTATCTATGTATAGTAGCATGTGTTCAGTCAGTTCATGTACATGTAAGTCTGCATGCAGACTAAAGAGGGTCTGTTTTCATAAATCTTAAACTGGCTTATTAAAACATCTATTCAATAACCAAGGTTATTGTTGCAGTCACGCCATTAGCGTAAGAAACAGTCTATAAACTGTCTAAACAGATTCCACTCATTGGCCTCACAGACCTGGAAAACAATACAAGAGATTGTGAAGCGGGAGGTGAGGGTTGAGGGATGAAAGAGATGTCCGCATGTGAGCAATTTAAAGGGATTTACAAGGAGAGAAAGTACACAGCTCACTTGTTTCCATAAAGAAACCCTACATACGGTATGCATTTGACAGGAGCTGCATAGATGTCTAAGAGGGTGCTTACACCTGAAAGTTAGTAGGGTGCCGTATTAATACAAGATACTTTGAGTACTGCTAATGAGTGAATCAATGCCAGTCTCTCTTCTAGGTCTACATTTCCAATTAAACTTAAAATTCATGCATACACCATGCTTACTGAAGGATCACACAAGCAGTTATATTAGCCTTCCTTTATTAAAATAGAACGTCTGAATGGCCAAGCAATGATCTATGGTTATTCAGTGCAAACATTTGTTTATAACTCCATTGTGGTCGGTGCTCACTCTCTTCTAGTATAGAGGAATCCAGCTGCATGATAGAACTCTCTTTGCCCTCTGACCACATTAAGGCAGTATGTGCATATACTGACATGAATGACAAAGTGCACGAAAACAGCCTCAGTATAGACCACATGTATGAGCTTTTGTGTACACTGGTTGAATCAATACTCAGGGCCAGATTTACCATTTACCATTAGGCACAATAGTCCTGTCAGCAACTCATAATATACACTTTGGCTTTGATATCACCATTGCAAATTGCACCATCATGGATTTATATAGAAAATGTTTCCTCAAGCTACAGCCATTCTTAAAACTTAACTATTATTTCTTCATTTAAAGTGACATGAAGGAAAAGACAAAACCAGTTTTATGTAAATATAGTTTGTCAGAGAAGCAGACCTGTGCCTATAATCTGCAGAGGCACAGAAGTAGGCCAGATTAGAGCCAGTATAACGAGATGGTGAGGAATGTGTAATAAGTGTGATCTCAGCAGAGGTGTATAGTATTGGGCACCCAAGGTTGTGTCTAGAGGCTCCAGTGGTGGAAATCCAACCTAGCCAATACGTATACTATAACCCCAACTTCCCTGTAATGAGTAAATGTTAGGAAGATGATTGGAAAGGTCTAGAGCTTCAGAAAACTGATCTGCCTGATAGAATTCTTACCTCCTCTCTCTCTCTTTTTTGTCTATTACTTTATCACTTACATTTACTTTGGCAAGGCAATCAGTCCTCCAGCTGAATGCTCCATTCATTTCTGATACCTAAAGCCAAATGAGATAAAAATGGCGGCAGCACAGGCAGAGCTGGGAGATTTAAACACTGGTCTCCTTGAAAGTTAAAGGCAGAAGTCAAAATAGGGTAGACTGTTAAAGCTTAAAAAGCAATATAAATAGCAGAATTAAAGGAGATCATATAAAAGTCAACCTAAAGATAGAAAGTCATATAAATTGTTCCGGGTTATAAAGATTGAACACTGGCACTGAAATTAGGTTTTTCATATATTGAGCCACTAAGCCCCATAAGCTACTTCTTCTCTTGTGCTCATTCTGTTTTGAAGGGGCTTCATGGATGAAAAAGTTGAAGAGAGAAATTAGTTGTGTACTGAGACATAGCAGATAGAAACCATCAAAAGAAACCAGGTTCAGCCACAATACAAGTCAAACAGGTTCTCTAGGTCTTCCAGTGAAAAGCATCAATAAACTTGGGAAACCAGTATATTTCATGTTTTATTATGTGTAGCAGAGACATAGAATAGCTGAAGTATGATCCTTTAATATCAGTTCTCTAAAAACAGGGCTACTTTTATAAGGAGACAATAGAGATGGTAAAAAGGGGCCTGGCTTCTTTAAGCCACAGAGAACATGGCTGAGACAATACAAAGCTGTCTTTTGTTTTCATTTTTTTCTCATCCTTACTGATTTATGCTCATAGCTTTTTTGCTTTAGCTGGTAGTGGGCCTCTGTGTGATATACAAAAGTAACAAAAGGAGAACTCCCACTGCAAGCAGTGTGTTGGAAATCACACACTCTGTTAAACAGAGCATTTATTGGTTTGCGGATTTATGATCTCTGTGTTATTTCTGGCTTCTCTAATGGGTTTGAAAAATGGTTCATGCACGTTACTAAGGACATTCACACTTACTCAGCAGTTTTAGGCATGCTGCAAAGCACATGTGGTGGAATTCCCATTGCACTGAACCTGGCTGTACAGTGGCTGACTTCACATGTAGAAATGTTAATCCCTTCCTTGCCAAAGCAATCACAAGTCTGCTACAGTTTACATACTTCAGCTCAAAAAGCATTGTGGGTAGCTTTCCGAAACTTAATACAACTCTTCCAGACTTAGATCAAGCCGCATGCCTGTGCATATAGATAGATAGATAGATAGATAGATAGATAGATAGATAGATAGATAGATAGATAGATAGATAGATAGATAGATTTTGATTCAGTTGTTAAACTACCTAGTTTAATACGTGTGTCTTTTTAGTGGTTAGTAGTTCTTGTCCTGTTTGCTGTTGTGCAGGCACTGTCCATCTTATGTTGTACATGTTAAAGGTTTTCTGTGACTTAAACCAGTACCATTCAGCAGATACAGACACTTTGTGGACTGACTAATATTCATTCTAGCAATTATGTAGGAAATGGTAAAATGACTGAGGCTGGAGACTGTTGACCACACACAGACACATGCAAACACATGCATAATATGATTGACTCAGATTTGTGTAGGCGATAACTTTGCATGAGAAAAAAGATACACCCAGAAATAAATTCCATCTGGGTTTTGTTTCACTTTTAAATAGAATGGATGAGAGTCAGAAGTTGTATCCAGTTTTATTACTGTATTTTTACTAATTAGAAAGATTTCCTCTCACTTCTGGCTCTAGTGAAATAAAGCTAAAAAATAAGAAGGCATTTGTGTCACCTAGCCAGGAAGACGCAGAAAGCAATAAAACCTGGCAAATGTTCTAGTTCCATCACTCTACTAAGTAAATATGCTGTTGTTGCTGTCTTTGTCCTTGACAGAGCTTTTCCATCAATACCTGTCCATGTTACCCCTTGCCACCAGGACAAGAGGTGAGGGTGAACACCAACAGCAATACAAAAACTGACAGTGACCCTGTAGTGTGACAGGAACGTACATTAAGGTGCCCCTTAGAGAGCACTTCTTATGATTATTTTCCCCCCATTCTGGAGCCCGAGCCTGCACAAAAACCCCAACTTCCTGGGTATTGGAAAGGAGACAAAGTCCCCCCAACCCCTTGCACTTGGCATCACTGAGTATCTGAGTAACCAATCACCAAGACTGTTAAGACAGGGGAGGCACCTGAACCTAGTTAGTTAACAGCTATAACAAAGTTTATCTGTTTACAATTTCTGTGGGCTCCAATGATGGTGCCAGGAAAGGCCATACATCATTAACGTACTCATGGAAGTTTTATTGCTGTCAAACTTTGAAAACTTGGGAAAGTGACCCCACATTTCCTGTTCCAGTGACATCCCTTAACAGACAGGCTTAGATAGACAATTGAGAGAAAGTTGGGAAAATCATCCCAAGATGGAGGAAGACTATAACAAAACCAAATAAGAAACAAAAAAGTTTGGGTTGGAATTACGAGTTATTGATTGTGTGTCAAATAGGCAATTCCTTGCTTCTGTGTGATCATTTGAACATCTGCCACTTGCTTCATTGTACTATCTGCAAAACATGGTAAATGACGAGGTACTGTCATAGGCTATCCTTCTGTACTGAGCAAGAAGGTTATAGTCAGAAAATATGTCATATTAATGACTGTGTAGGTATGTAGCAACTGTACAGGTTAGCATAAAGACTTTCTTATTAATGTGTATGTATAGCCAAAACCTGGTTTTTTTTTAGGGAAGTTAAATCATCTGTTTTTTTTCTCTTCTTTTGGCCGTCTGTGTACCATTGGGAATATTTCTTCAAAAGTGAGGGGAATTCCCTTCTTAGACAGTTGTACCCAAAATAGGTGTTAGTACATTTCCTCTTACCTCCTGTACTGGGTTTCCCCTCACTTTCTGTTTTAGTGACAGTGGTCACCAGTACAAATAGATTGGTGAATCTCTCTAATGGGAATTCAACTTGTCTAAACCTTGTTTAAAAAAGGAGAGATGTATTTGAATTACTTATTCTCTTTTTCATTTCTCTACTTATCAGTGATGAACTTACAAGATTAGATTTAAAGAAGCTGCCAGGACTTTCAACTCAGGCCCTGAAGGAGCACCCTTCCCTTGCATACTGGTAATAATACTATGTCACTTATTAATGTTCACTTGTCTAATTACACTGTCTTGGTTTTCTGGCTTTAATTTATGAGTGCTGAATTTCTGATACATTAAAAAGTATTCCATTTCACATTGTTACATCTAACATACACATACATTAACTCAAATGCATTTTTAAAAAAACAGTAATTGCAATGTATTGTGTAATATTGTAGTTGTGCACTTAATTACAGCTGTCCTATATGGAAAGTTTATTAAAAACAAATATGAAACTATAGATTTGGGTTGTTTATTTCATTCATTTTGTATAGGTATAAAATAACTGACTTGCATGTGTGTGTACAGCAAATAACCATTGATTCCATCCTTGTATTATTTTTCAGTGAGGAGAGAGTTACAGAATATTACAAGAAGCTAAATGGGCAGACCAGAGGACAAGCTATTGTAAAGTAAGTTCTCTGTTACCAATAACAGCAGTTGTTTACATCATGTACACATGGCTTCATTTACGATTAGGCACAGTAGGTAGAGGCAAGAAGGCACCTGTTTCCTGTTTACGTATCAGCCACACATTTTCCCATCATTGGTGGATATACGGTTTTCTCATCAGGACTGACCATATAATGAGGCAGTGTCCAAGGTTGTTAAGAGCTCTTAGCAACCTGTGATGCTCTGTGTGTTGCCGCCCAGCTCACTGACGTCACCGGTTGCCAGGAGGTGAGCGGGGACACTCACTAGCCCAACTAGTTGCGCTGCGCAAACTGTTTGCGCTATATAAATACTATGTAATAATAATAACTAGTTGGGCAGGATGCCAGACAGAGCCGCTGACAGCACGGTACAGCGTCCGCCACCGTCCCACACCCTTGTTAAACAAATCAGCCGTGCACGTCTCACCCTCCTCACCACTGACCATTCCCTGACAGCACCCCCACCTCCCAGGAACAATATGGTTTAGGTGGCAATTTACCTAGGGACAGCCCTGCATCTCATATAAGTTTAGTGACACATTGTCCTTATATTCTAAGACAGGTTTAGACCAGCGTAACAAGGAATGTTCGATGAGGTGATCCTAGTAGGGCAGTGTTGCTTTGGGCACCAAAGATTGTTTGCCTACAGGCTCCAGTAATAGAATACCAGCTCAAATAGAAAGGCACAATCTAATACAATGTGGTAATGTTACTGAGCTTTAGAATACTACATATATGCAAATATTTGAAGAGTACTTCCCTGAAAGCCATTCTTTAACTAAAGGGAATTCCATACAATACTGAAAGTAAAAGTATTTACCTGTAAGGGCTGGTTTACTACAGCAGTGCTTGTGAACTTTTTAGTGGAATATACAGTAGTGCATAAATATAAACTTTGTACTGTATTTCCTTATTAAATATGCTGAGTTGTTATTCATGTGTCTGTACATATATACTGTATGTGTGTGTGTTTATATAGAGAGAGAGACAGAGAGCACTGTCTAAATCTTTGAGCCATGATTCAAATGTACATTGCTCTGTGTTGTATTCCAATAGGATATCAATACAACACCACTGAGACACTCTAAAAATGTAAAAATGTAAAGCCTTGTTGCAATTAACAAATAGTCACCAGTGGAACTTGCGTTGGTTTAGGGACTTCTATTTATATCAGCTTCCTTTAAAGGGGTTGTCCACTCACAAAACATGAGGTTTATTTGTGATCATGTGGTTTCCCAGCTTTGTCAGGATTGTGAAGCTAGGGTCCTGAGCCAAAAGGGTGCTAATGAAATGTATGAGGAGCTGTAATATGGAGAAATGTAATTGATCTCCTGCTAAAGTCTTTGTAGGCATCAACACTTTTTAAAGCACAGTTGCATTATAGTCAGCCAATGAAAGTGTGCCTTAATAACTAACATGTGATTTTTATCTTCCAGTTACATGAGTGTTGTAGAATCCCTTCCCACGTATGGAGTGCATTATTATGCAGTTAAGGTAAGTAAACACTTGTTAATTTGTGCTTCTGCTTGAAAAATAATATAGAGTGTGCCCTATCAAGTGTCAAAGTATGCAACAAGTCAGTATATTCTAGTCTGACCAAAGGTTCATTCTCTTTTTGTTTAAAATTTTTGATAAATCATATAGAAGCAGACACATGACACTATGGTCAAGCAACTTTGCATAAATATAACGAAATGCAAGCTTCAAGGGAGAAAAAATAGAGAATTTTTAATTGTGAGCTTAGCAAAAAAAGGATATGCATTTAAGTTTAAAGGGGTTATTTGGATTTGGTCAAGGCCCACATATTTATACAATGACATCACGTAATACCTTACAATGATACATTTCAGGTATCTACACAATTATGTACATTTACTAGTTAGAGTGCCCCATCTGCAAAAAGAAAAGGTTGATGTCAATGGATTACAAAATATAAAGCTGGCCATACACGAGTAGAATTTTGTTTGAAAATGTTTTTTTTTTTTTAAACGTTCACTCAACTTTCTAATGGTTAGTGGGGTCTAATCAATGTTTGTTTTCGACCATAGTAATGAGGAAAATCGAAAGACTAGGAATTAAATTGTTTAACATTTCTTATCTAGAGAATGAAATTCTATCTGTGAATATGATTTTCATTCTGGAAAAATTGTACATATTGTAATGCTTATGTGCTATTTAATATGTCTGGGACTCCATTCAAGTAGCAGGTCTAGATGAAATTTTTAAGGGCTTTCAAACAAAATGAGTTGACTAAATGGCAAGATCAAATGCTCTGGCAAAAGAAATTCTAACAGTCAGAAGTATTTAATATTTATTAGCAATTCATTGGCACAGCAACACAAAAAGGTAATAGGCAAAACTTTTACTCAGTGCCTTTGTACAAAGTAATATTTTGTATCAGGATTTTTGTGAAGCTCTTGACAAGCTTCTGTCTAGACCCAGAAAGAAAGAAAGAAAGAAAGAAAGAAAGAAAGAAAGAAAGAAAGAAAGAAAGAAAGAAAACGTTTTCACCACTGCTGGTGTTATCTGTTTTGCACTAATACACTAATACACTGTGAATTGTTACTGTATACCCCAATGCAATGACATTTGAATTTGTCCAGATTTACATTTAGATTTACACACATAACTGAGGGTCACAGTGACCCTTGTTCCCTACATTTTCAACCCTTGTATTTTCTTACTCCTTACTCTTCAGACTAACTGTCTAGCACTGTCTGTAAAGAAAAGAATGCTATTGAATTATTGATAAGGAAATAGCAGAGATCCCACTTGGGATTTACATAAGTCATTTCTAGTATTATGTGGTCTGAATAATATATGCCATAGGCTGACAGGGACTTACTCCTAATCATAACAGTCCACTTCCTGCTGATAAGGTCTGCAATTAGCCTAATTTATATGAAGCATAACATATACTATATGTTAATAGGTAATTTCCCATGCAGTATTTTTAATGTGCTCTATAAATTACTTTATTGTGGATGACTTGGTGTGAATGGGGGGCCTGCCACCCGGACGTTGTAGACCGTGACCTTTAAATTTCTTATTTATTTATTACAGCCATTTATATAGCACCAGCGATTTATGTAGCTCTTTACATTTTCCAGTACCTCAATCCCTGCCCTCAAGGAGCTTAGACTCAACGTCCCTATCTCACATGCATACACATACATACTAGGGCTGATTTTTACAGGAGGCAATTAATTTGCCAGAATGTTTTTGGGGTTTGGGAGGAAATCCGCTCAAGCAGTAGCACAGGGAGAACATGCAAACTCCATATAGATAGCATCCTGGCTGGTATCCGAACCGATGACCCCAGTGCTTCAAGGAGTGCTGCCCCATAAAATACAAGATACAACCATAAAATATATTGCTACTTCACACAATACTTGCTTGAGATCAGTTATTTTTTGCCTATGAATTGTGCTTTGTAGTGAAGTCTGTATAGAAGGCGATCAGAGAATCACATCTTTTAATAAAAACTATAAAGCTTTTTATTGTTTTAGGTCAACATGCAAAAGATAGTTAATGTGACTAATCTTACTTATGTCCTTGGGCCTGTTCACACATGTCCGTTTTCTTGCAGTAAAATATTTTGAAGATAATTAATTCATTATTATGTATCTAGTTCACATACTGCAGTTTGGCATCTTATTAAAATGTTGCCATATAACATTTGTTGTCTTAAAGTGCAATAAGCAGGCTACGGAAAAAAAAGTTGATGATCAAAAATCATGTTTCATGTTATTGTCCATTTTTTTTTAATTCTGTAGCAAGGACAATCTCTGTTCTTGAATGTTCCTCCTACACATGGCTTAACTAATGAACAAAAACCATACATCATAACACAAAAACAGGTTGAAGTACCCGGGAAAATTCATGTATGCCTATAGGTATAAAATGTCCTCAATGTTATATACATACTGCATGTACATGGAAGGCTGTCATATTTGCCCTTTATACAGTATGCAGACTATGCGTTATTGTTGTACTTCCTGCTTGTCCTCCTAATTTATTGATTACTGGAGAGAGTATTTCTCATTCAAAGTATGTCTATAATGTTATGAGACACTCACAGGGCTGCTGGTAGCAACAAAAATGTGATGTCTGCTTAAGCTTCAGGTCAGACAGGGAACCTTATAATGGAAGTTTTGCACTGCATTTGTGGCAATGAAGAAGTACTTATGATGGTCAAAACAATAATGTGATTTGGGCTGACATGTGTAAAGTGTACATTAATCAAAGGTCCACTTGAAGAAATCATCATTAGGGAAGTGACTGAGGTGCAGCCCTCACAGTAGGAGACAAAGTAGCTTCTAAGTGAGACATTTGTAAGGGTAAATCATATAACAACCATGTTATTTCTACAGCCACCATAGGTCAAGATTTATCCTCCCTATTTATCCAGGTGACCATTGTCACTGAGATAGAAAGTGATGGCAATCCAAAATTTTACATTTGTCAACAGAAAAGGAGGTGAGAGGAAATGGAAGCATTTGGCCTTGTGAACATTGTCTAAGAAGGGAATCCACCTCATTTTGTAGCAATTTCCCTTTCACTTACTGCTGCGTCTGTAGGACAGGAAGTGAAGAGAAATCTCAGACAGCAAAAAATCCAAATCCTAAAAGTTTTATGCACTTCCGTACTCTATTCAAAACTAACAATACATTTTGTCTATGCATTAACAGACTTGGTAATGCCTGAACAGATTTAGCTTCAACACAACTCCCTAAATTGGCTGTATATCATACTACCATTACTTTAGACACTCTTCTATCAGTATGCTACCTGACTGCACCTACAAAACAATGATCATTTTATGTGCCGGCAGGCGGCAGCAGTTGGTAGCACTCATCATTGTAACAAAGAAATATAGGTGATGTGCTGTCACATGCTGTCTGTCTTCACTGTGCCACAACCATGCTCCCCTTTCACACAGCATTGTCTGTAAGTGTTTGTGACACACTATCCTGTTAACAGCCATGCTGACAGCTGTCTTAATCTTTGCAGCAATAAAGGAGCCAGCAATTCTCTGACTATATTTATCATGTAGGAAAGCCATGCACAAGTCTAGAATAATATTTTAAAAGCCTAAGTGAAGACATGGTTTCCCTAATATAATTTCCTTTTTAAACAGTATTTAATGGTAATGGACAATTTGCTTAGTGCATAAAAGTGTTTAATGCACATTTATTCAAAAACATTAACACTAATATGGAATGGACAACCATGAGTCATACGAGTATGAAGCTAAGGTGTCAATATTTGTCATAGAAGGATGCTCCTTGGCTTAAACCTAAATAAAATTTAAAAAAAGATCTGTAAAATTGCCCCTCCACCAAGCTACTTACCAGTTTTTTTATTATTCTTATTCTGCCAGTGTGCTTTTTCTTTTCTTCCTTTCCAAGAGTGTTCCATAGTTAAGCGATCCATGCAATCAACAAATGTGTTTTGTAATGTCTAAATCTATTATTATATCTCGCTTACACCTATTGTTTCTTATGGACCTTCTCCTTTTTCACAGGACAAACAAGGAATTCCCTGGTGGCTGGGACTTAGCTACAAAGGTATTTTCCAATACGATCATCACGATAAAGTGAAACCACGAAAGGTATGTTTATTTTCATTATCTAAACACACAGTTCAGTATTGTTCAGCTTAAGAAATTCCAACTTGTTTTTTTAAAGTATTTATTCAACGGAAATGTGTACTGAAAGAAATACAGGAAAGTGCATTGCTCATTTCTTCTGGAAATGTTGTTGCTTGGTTGCCTCTGGCTTAAAGTGACACTAAACTCAGAAGTTTAATCTTAAAAATGCATTCAAGTACCTTAACTATTAACATAAATGTAGCTTATTTGTGTATCACTAAGCTGTAGATCTTCAAATCATCTCTGATTTGGTGCTGGCACTGTCCTTCCTTGGAGGTATGTTAAAAATAAATCAAGGCAACTGGACTTGCTGTATTTTACTTCAAGAAAAATACAGCAAGTCCAGTTGCCTTGACTTATTTTTTACAGATATACCATGACCTGGATAAATGAAAACCTTCACAGACTTCCTTCTGGAGGGTGGCTACTTTTGTTCCCATGGTCGCTGTATGTGTTGTAAAGTAGGCACCGCTCCAAGCTCACTCCTGTGAAGGACTAAAATCTCTATACAAATGGGTAAACTAGGGGTCTATTCACAAAAGGGTGAAGCGTTTGGAGAAGGCAGGAGAAGTGAACAATCTAGGACAACGTAGCTGATTTGGAAAAATTCTCAAATTCAGCTCACTTTCCAGTTCAGCTATGTTGGCTTAGATGGTTTACTTCTCCTGCCTTCTCCAAACTCTTCACCCTTTTGTGAAACGACCCCTTAAATGTGAGCTTGTAGTCCATCACAGGAGTGAGCTTGGTGCTGTGGCTACTTCACAACACAAACAGGGACAATGGGGAACAAAGTAGCCACCCTCCAGAAGGAAGGACAGTGTCAGCACCAATTCAGATACGATTTGAGGATCTACAGCTGAGTGACACAAATAAGCTACCTTTTTGTTAATAGTGAATGCATTTTTAAGGTTTAACTCCTCAGTTTAGTGTCACTTTAAATGCACAATCAGCCATTGACCTGGAATAAGCATGCAAAAGAAAGTCAGAGTAAAGCTAGAATACCTGATCTGCATACTTGTTGCATACTCAAAGTATTGACGCTGTTGGATCAGCATGAGATTTAGCTTTTAAAGAGCATCATCCAGCCACTCCTCCCCTCTTCCCTCTGCACAAAAATAAACATGAGTTTATAGAGCAGTATATGAACAACAGTGACAGCAGAGGTTGGCCATATTGAGCTTGAACATCCACCTTTATTCATGGCAGTATCATTGGTGATGTTTAGGAGTTTAGCATAGAGCTGATTCTCTGGCAAATTTGGGCTGGTTTATGACCGAGCTACACTCAGAGATATATAAAATAAAAAAGTGATTATGACTCTTAGCTGATACAATTTGATTATTTTTTACTTTTTTGTAATAAAATTATGTGAACGACAAGATAACATAATTATCAACTTTTTACATGCTCAGTAGACAGCTTCATTTGCATTTAACAGAAGCTCCATGCACAAAGAAGGTGTCAGTATTGGTCTAGACCCCTGCAGATAAATTAGTGTTTCCCTCCTAGGTTTATGGTCTGTAAATATTCACATCCGAGCTGTAAATTGTTTCGGACAAGAAATGTCAGAATTTGAAGATTACATGTGATCTCACATAGCTGACACTGCATGACAAAAATAATCTGCGTTATAATAGGTAACACAAATCACTATAATACAACTGTTATAGACCTTTTGCAGAACGGCACACTTAAACTAACAAGAATGCTGTAATCAAGTATAATTGTATGTCAAAATATTTAAATATTATTTCCTAAAAGTAGTTAATGGGTTTTATTACATATTATAGTTGCTAGAAAAGCAGGACCAGGTCGATTGTGTTGTCATTTCCAATGCACTGCTTTTGTGTCATTTGAATAGAATGTAGTATACTAGTATTATAATGGGAAATAAAGGAAAAAAGCAGCATATTACAAACCTGCTGAACATACCGGTATCGGTATTCGGTATCGGCGAGTACCGAAAAATAAAAAACCGCTACTTGTACTCGATACCGAAAAACCGGTATTGGTGCATACCTAGTTTAGATTGTTTTGCGTATATAAATACATTTTTATCAAAGAAGAATGGGGGAGAGTAAAATATACTTCCCACAAAATTTAGAGCTAGCGTGAGAAAATACAGCTATCCTACAACAGTTCTAAGTCCCTGTTCACACCTGCGCATACTAGGAGCATGCTTCGCTTTGCGCATGGTTTTTGCAGCATTTGCAGTGTGTCACCCATTCACTTCAAAGGGCTGCCGCACACACAGCAAGATGTTGATGCAGCATTTTTAGCTGCGAGCGCCCACGTTATTTCTGTTGCGTTTAGCACGCGTCCACGCACATGAAAAGCATATTTCCTGGCCACGTTTGGGGTTCCATTAACAACTAATGTGACCAGGGACTCACACAGTCTCTTCTGTCATAAAAAGCCTACCAATCAGCATTTCTGTTTTAATTCCTTTACTTCCACTTTAAAGTAGTAAAAGAGTCACTTTATGGTTGAAATGCAGGCAGATATTTAACAAAAAAAATGTGCGACATGAGTTCCAGGTTTTTCCCCTCTGTGTTTGTGCATGTTTTAACCTGCGCAAACATGGAGGAGGAACGTGCATCTTCCCTGCCACGTTTGGGTTAACTAGTAACATGGCAGTTTTGTGAACGTGCATCAAAGCACACTTTTTTTTGTGCGTTTAACGCAGTGTTTCCGCAACACCTAGGTGTGAATGGGGCCTTATTGCTAAAAAAAATTTGCACTGACATACATATCTACAAATAGCCTTCTGCAATCTACCTGTGAAAGGTAGAGACAGAAATCTGAAACAAACAGGCATCTACTATTTTTGCACAGTGCTGTTGAGTGAACAGTTTTGAACATGGTTAAAAGGAGAAGAGAGCAGAGTGATGCATTTATTCATCAGTGTAATGCTTTCCCTTCATTGTTCAGTCTCAAGCTGGGGGCAGGTTTGTGTGCAGCTGTAAAACCTAACTACAAAAGACAAAAGTGAGGTTGCTGACCTGGGTATTTTACATTTACAAGTTTTATGTGTGTATTTAGCTGCTTGTCTGGAGTTAAGCTTTAAAGCAGAACTGCAGGAATTATTTTCATTAACCCTTGCATGGGGCTACCCCTGCACTACAAGGGTTAACTGCTCGTTTGTGTCTAGGTAAAGAAAAAGCAAAGATATACTCACCCAAACTGCCAAGCCAGCTACTTCATAGACCGGTCCCTGGAATGCCTCTCCCTCTCCTCTGCAGCGGTCTAAGGTCCAGTAAATCATCATGTCTATACACTCTGCATAGATGTGAGGACTCTGAGGAACATTCCAAATCTTTATTATTTTACAAACTATACACAAACGAGCACGTAACCCTTGCCGTGTGGGGGTAGCCCCACGCAAGGATTAATTTAAAAATTCCTGGAGTTCTTCTTTCAGCATGTGGACAGTAAACAGGAAGGTGTCTTGGTCTTATTGAATTCCATGTACGTCATACATTTTTCAATTACAAGCAGACACCGGAAAGCACTTAATGGTAATCCTATTACTATGTGCGATTTACCTTTCTTATTGATAACCTAAGAAATATGCCTTAATGTTACGTAATTGAAGCTAAATATATGTTTAGTAAATATGTTATTGCTTCCAATTACCTAGAGTGTCTGCAAAAAGTAATTTAGCCTTATTGCATTGTCTAAATATACCTACATACTTCCCAACTGTGGCTTATTTGCACAAGACCCTTTGTCTATATTTTCTCTTATAGTGTATCTCTGTTTGTACTATATAAATGTTCAATATCTTGCGTCAAAATGTGTATTTTAGCTAGTAAATAAGCTATCACTTCTAACTTACTCTAGGATAGGTATTATTATTCTATGGATAAATAATCTGTTGGTTGTTGTGATACTTTTATTTTGCGTTTGCGTATGGATTGCATATGGTTATTTGACCTTGGTTTGTTGATTTGTTGGTTGTACTATATAAGCCTAATATACTGCACTCCTGATGCAAGCACTCATTTTGACCACTTTGCTTGCTGGGAAGATTATGAGGCTAATTTAGAAATCTTCTGCCCAGCTTATAGCTGGGTGGATGCATTTGCACTGCACTACCGCAACTAGATGACGCTGGGTAGCATAGGAATTTCCTACAGTATGCTCCTCGGCTCCATCTAGTGGTGGTAGTCCTGTGCATACGGCCTTCACCCAAAGTAAACACAAAAGATTTTTAAATCAGCCCATATGGGTCTTGCAGATCTTCCTCCCAGACTTTTCAGATATTAAATATAGCAAGTACCTGCCATTAGGGCCAGTCTGATGCTTATACAGGAGAGGTGCCCATCTTTGGCGCTACGGGTAGGTAGGCACATTTGGAGCTGTTCTGGAAAAAGTGACAAGCTAGTACACTGTCAGGGGTAGTTAAAATTGTTACTTACGCAAAAACAGTTCCTGCAACCATTAAACACCCCAGTCTGTGTTATAGATTGTCACAACCCCTATCTCTGCCATTTTTTGTAGACAGCTGAGTAAATGTGGACAAAAGTAAACATGAAATAAAAATGGAATTCACATGCTAAGTAACATCCTTGCATTATCAACTGCATATAGATATGGAACATAGACTTTTTTCTTTTGTGACAGCTGTCCTTTACCAACAGGCATTTTTCATCCTCTCATTTGGCAGGATTGTAAGAGGCCAAGCAGTTTTCTTGTTGTTTCCTCTTTAAGATTTGTTCCCTAGCTCAGAAGCAGAAGTGTGGGCGGTGTGACCGCCGCTGACCAAACTGAATTGTACAACTTGTGCTATGATAAACAGTTATTCCTACAGCAGCTCTTAATTATTTGGTATAATAAACAAAGCTTCAGCTCTAGACTTCCATGTTGGGTGCTAGCAGAGGAGGCAGACAATCACAGACAACTAACATGCATGCTAGAAATAAAGGGAAATCTGCTCTGATATCAAAAACACTCAGAGA